AAATGGCAACAAATAATACATAAGAATTAAATTTAAGTATATAGGTTAAAAATTATTTTAGTCAAATAATGTTATTTGCACACACCCCACAAAAGACCAAAGGAGCATGGTTCAGAGGCCTTACACCTCTCCTGGGTAGGATTCCAGGTATGTTTCAAATTTTCTATAGTTACACGTTTTGGGGGGAACAAAAGTCCCCCCCTTTACACTATTAATTTCCATGCAGGAACACAGATTCCAAATGTGAAGGAAACAACCTTAAACTACACTGAACTAAACAAGCACCAATATACAAACTACTTTAAACATTCCTTGTGGGTCAAAGAAAAATACTCTGGTATCTTCTAACTTCTGGCCCAAACCAAGTCCACAATGAACGTTTTGTAAAGAATAGCCTTTAAGGGACACAAGCTATGTGAAAGATACAAACTATCGAAAGAAGCGCAGTGACATGGGTTTTCTAACGGGGAACCACAGGCCTTTGAAATTCTAAGGAACCTGCTAGCAAACATTCTCAGACCATCTGCAATCTCTTAGTGATGACTTTAAATTTTACGTGGACCTCTGGACCCCTGGGGGGAATGCCACACCCATTCACCAGCATGTCACACGTGCTTCCCAGATGCTACAAAGTGGTTTTTAAAAACTCCAGGAGGAAGGAATCCTGCAAGCAAGCTCCAGATCCCACATGCATCTGGGGATGCTGCGGGTGTCTCTACTGGGAGATAACGGAGTATGTCAGCTTTTTTGCCTCCTTCCCCGACTAGGTAACCAACAATTTTTTTAAAATCTTTGAAATCAGACTTAAATGCTACAGGGCTGTCATTAGGGTCAGTAATCAACAACTTCAAGGCATGATCAGCGAAACAAGCAATGAACTGGAAACTGGTATGTTGAGTCTGGTCTAAGGTCCGGTACTAGCTGGTGACCTTGGGGCAGCCACCGGACTCGGTTTCCTGGTTTGTAAAATGGGGAGATACACCCACTCAGCATCGATGCTATGAGTCCTAAGGAGGCCCACGCGTAGGTAGCCAGACAGCAGAGATGCTGGGTGCCCAGGGCCTGCCCACTCGGGGTCCCTTCAACCCAATGGTACCCAAGCCCACCCAGGGGCCAGCAGCACCCAGGCTGCCCTAGACACATCCATCCCAAAGCGGGCTGAGCTAGGACACGAATCGAAACCGAAAAGCTCATGTGACCTGGGAGGCAGGGATGCGGCCCTGCTCCCGGCCAGGCCCGGGAGACGCCGTCTCCACCCAACTCGGCCATCTTGAGAGGCCGCGGAGACAAAGCGACCCCACCGGGCGGGCGCCGGCGGGCCGGGGCACCCTTGAGGCTCCACGCGACCGGGGAGGGGGCGCCGCGCACCTTTGAGGGTGGAGCGCTCCACCAGGACCGTGTGGACCTGCGGGTCTGACAGGAACTTGCGCATCTGCTCCAGGGCGCTCTTCTCCTCCAGCGCCGCCTCCAGCGCGGCCGGCGCGTCGCCGCCGTCCTCCAGCAGCAGCGGCACCAGCTTGCGCAGGTGCTTCTGTAGCACCGCCACGTCCGCCACATTCTGCACCGCCGACACCTCCAGGCCGGCCGAGCCGTCCTCGCCGCCGCCGCCCGGCTCCGACATGGCGGATCCGCGGAAGGGAGAGAGAGAACGAGAGAGAGTCGAGAAGGGAGGCCACCGCCCGGCGAGGGGAGAAGCGAGCGAGAGGAACCGGAGCCCGGAGACGCTGTGTCCGCTAGCCCGCGGCCGACTGCGGACAGCGGAGCCGGCTCCGCCCTAAAGGCCGCCGCTCCCGCCGGCCCCGCCCCGCCCGCTGGCTGCAGCCACCGGCGCCCGCTCGCGGTCGGCGTCGCGACGTTACGCATGCGCCTGGAGGCGGGGCGAGGCGGGGCGCCGCGGGGCCTTTTGGGACTTGTAGTCAGAGCAGGGCGGGGCCCGCGTGACTCCTCCCTGAAGTGGTCCAGGAATCGCGTCTGTCTCCACTGCAGGGTCGCAGAGAATATCACAGAGCCCCTTAATGCTCCATAAGTAGTGTATAAAGAATGCATTCGCGAGAGTTGACCTTTAGTGAGCACTCATCCTCTGCCCGGCGTTGTTCTAAACGGCCTGAGTTCTCCCATTGTATGAATAAATGAGTTCGGAGTGCCACCATCAACCTCAGTCCATTACGTTATTAGATACACACATGGGAAGATGAGGACTGTTTTTCGGAGGAAGAGGGGATGAGGGGAGTGCCCACAGTTAACCTCGCTAATCTGGCAAGGGAAAGGGTGGAAAGGGAGACATTCTCAGCTGAGAAACTGGCCTTTAGGACCGGAGGGTTATGGGTGGAGCAACGACTGCTTTGCAGTATAATGTTAGGCCAAAAGAAACCTGGATTGCAGATAGCATCAAGATGTGGTGGGACCTGACTTCTGGAGACAGTGTCGTTTACCAAGCAAGCGTGACGTCTGTAAGGGGAGGACCCGCATGAGTGAACCTACTGACAACAGCACTGCTCAAGTCCTGGACCTGCAAGCCCTCCTGTGGGCTCAAGAATCTGGGTCGGCAGGGGCTGGGATGCCTCTCAACTAAATTTCCCTGCTTCTGACTCACCGCGGCCACCTCAGGATCTGGGTCAGGATCCTGGCTACTTCCTTTCTCCAGGATAGCAATTGGCCTTTGAAAGTTCAGATTCATAACTCGCTTTTTCAGCCGAGTAGAGGGAACTAAGCCAAAGTCATCTTTAAAAATATGATAATGCAGTTAGAAAGCCGAGTCCTGATTGGTAGGCTGATGATGGCATGATCTGATTCTCCCAAATCATCCTTGGAAAACGGTGAGCCCTACAATATGCTTATTCCTTGTGCAATTTACCCAGTGCCAGGCCCCAAAGGCTGCAGATGGGAGCCCAGGAACTGGTCAGATGATTCTTCTAGAAGCTTGTGTGTGTGCACAAGAGAGCAGATAAGTATCCCCATTAGTCCATTAGTCCACTCTGGTAGGACCTGTCCAAGAAGTTCTAAATGATCTTTCCAGAGGTGAGAGGACAGACCCAAAGCAACCGCCCTGAGTTGGTCTATGGAATGCTGGTGCACCAGCAGTGACCAACACTAATGCCCACTTTACACTGGGTGCTGTGTTCCCATTTCCCTCTGCATGCCCTGCAGAGATAGGAACAAGGACAAAGAAGGGCTGAGACTCAGAAACCTGCAGGGACTTGGCGGGGGTGGGGGCTGATTGCACACTGCCAGCAATAAATGAATCAGCATCTTCCTGGGAAATGCAGTCAGTCAGTTATGCTAGGGACCTGTACGTCTGTACCCTGGCTCCAAGTCAGGGAACACATAGCGGCCTCGGACTTTGACTTATCATCATTATTTCAAAGACGACAGAAACGGTCCATCTACAAGGAGTCACAAACAGGCAAAACCTGCTTGGTTTTTTTTTTCAATATAGTAAGAATAGACGCGCTTGAATAGCTGCTTGCTGCACACAGGCTGCTGAGACATCAAAGTGCATCATCCCGGAGGCTGGCCAGACAGAGCTGATGGGGGAGCAGATCTTGTTTGCAGATCCCTTTCTGCCTCGTGGCATACGACTCAGCTGATCCCGGGTGGGGCCCTACCCCGACCTTTCCATCGTTTCCTGTCCGTGACAGGATCTGCTTTCAGTTGTTGAGAGGTTCTGGAGGGAGCACTCTCTCAGCCGATGTGGGATGATGATGGCTGCTAAGGCACATATAATTTTGTCATAAACTCGTGATATGCTGTATACAGATCTTGCCCATACCCAGCATCCCTTTTAAATACTACATGGAGTATTGCAGGGGCCCAACCTGGTGCCAGACTCATTCTCCTCCTCCTGCCCCCCCCTCCCAACCATCCACGGAGACCCCTGTAAAACCATAGTCTCCAGGCTATGCTCCCATATACCCCTTCTCTGAATCTCATATGGGACATTTTTCTTTTTAAAGACAAGGTCTCAGCAGGTTGGCAATAGCACACACCTTTAGTCCCAGCATTCAGGAGACAGAGGTAGGTGGATTCTGCACTCTAGGCCAGCCTGGTCTACATAGTGAGTTTCAGGAGAGCCAGAGCTGAAAAACAAACAACAAATAACAAAATAAAATAAAATGAAGACAAGGTCTTGTCATGTAGCCCTGGCTGACCTGGTACTTACTACGTAGAGCATGCTGACTTCAAACTGGAGCAAAGTTCCCACTCATCCTACTTGGGCCTGTAACTCCAGCACTGGGGGCATGGAGAGTCCTATCATACCTGGTTCACATTGGGACTGCACTATTTTGACTGCTAGGCGCTGCTGAAGGACCCAGCTGGCATTTCACCTCACTGAAGAACGCTTTTGGATGAAGCTTGCTCCACGATCCACCCCACTTTGTGTCTTCGGTCTGTGTTAAATGGGCCTCAGGGTGAGGGTTGAACTAAATCAGGTCCTAGAAGTTTCAAGAACTGAAGGTTGGAGTTGGAGACCAGGGAAGTCACTCCAGCAGGAACAAAACAGTCCGTTTATGCCCCCTGGTGGTAGGGAATTCTCTCTCACTTTCAGGGGCCTCCTCTCCATCCCCACCTCCCCCTCCACCTGGTCACCTAGGGAATGCCTGGTGTACCCCACCATCCACAGGGAAGATTGACTGAAGAGCTTCTACCTGGGCAGCCAATTCACCCAAACCCTCAACGCCCCTGGCACTGCCCAGCTCCTCCCCTCTAGTGGTACCAGCCACTAGGTACCAAAAACCTGTGTGCCCAGCCAAGATCACTACAATCAAAGCAAAGCAAGAAAGAGAAAGAAACCCTGTCACACCCCTGTAAGCACCGTTTCTCTGCCGCTCCTTCTGGTAAACTCCTTGGAAATCAATGCAATGAACCCAGCCTTGAACAATTCTATGTCTCCTACCTCGTTCTTTTTGTGTGTGTGTGTGTGTGTGTGTGTGTGTGTGTGTGTTGTGTGTGTGTGTGTGTGAGATTTTCTGTACCCAGCAGGACAGTTAGAAACTGCCTTTTTGAGAGCCAAGTGCAGTCATGCAGAGGTCTAGCAACTGGCAAAGAATTATCAATTCTTCATTTGGACAGACTCTCCGAGCTTCTCCAGTCCTTGTCAGACCAAGTTTATTTTGGAAGTTCTGCTCCAACTCCAGGTATCAAGTTACTAACTGTAGGGTTTGGGGGTAGGAGGGATGGAAAGAGAAGCATGCTGTTTCCAAACATACAACAGCATTGTTTTAGGCCTGCAATGTTTGTTTTACTAATTCCAACAGAATAGAAAAATGGTTTTATAGCTTAGTGTTTAACAGTTTGTTTTTCTAAGCTTCATTATCAATGCCATTACAGAAGATCACTGATGTCATAATCCTACCTCGTTCTTACGTTCCCAGAAAGTGCTGTGGTCAATGTCACCAACCCTCCACACCTGGGTAAAGCCAGTGACGGGGTCTCCCTCACAGCCAGGCTCTCCTGATCCTTCTCCCCCGTCTTCTCAAGGAAGGCGTGGCCCCAAGGCTTGGTGTTCAGCTCTCTTTGGTCTTGAACTAGCATCTCTGAACCCTGACCGTGCAGTGCAGCTGTACCTGCTGGCTCCCAGTATAAGAGAGGCACTAGGGCTGTGCCACAGCTGTTGAGTAGGTGTTCTAGAAAAGTCCAAGCTTATGGGGGGTGTTTTAATTCTTGTATCTGCTCCTTCTTCCTCCTCCCCCTCCCCTTCCCAATCCTCCTCCTCCGGCTTCCTCTGCTTCTCTGTACTGAGGACTGAACTCAGGGTCTCGTGCATGCCTGGCAAGTGCTCTGGCCCGGGCTGCATTACCTCACGTCCTCCTCACTGTCTGTACCCTTCTTCTGTCTATTATAGAGAGAAGAGGGCTGAAATCTCTGGCGGTGATCGAGACTTTGTTTTTGCTCGCAATTCCATCTGCTGTGATCTCTGGACTTAATCAGCCAACCAGTCCTCCTGATGACGTGATGATGGTGATGATGATGATGATTTTTTTTTTTTTAAGACAGGTTTCTCTGGGTAGCCCTAGCTGTCCTGGGACTCTCTTTGTAGACCAGGCTGGCTTCAAACTCTTCAGCCTCTGCTTTTCAGGTGCTGGGATTAAAGGCGTGCGCCACCACATCCGGCAGTCCTTCTGATTTCAGTAGTTCCTTCATGAGTTGCTCGTTTTCTTTCTTCTGGTTTATACGAGGGGCGCTCTGGGAGCCCCTGGAGCGTAAACACCTTCTAGGGGGTAATGGAGGCTTAGGGTCTGTGACTTCCCAGACTAGACCTCGGCTGTTTGTGTGAGCCTGGCAGTACACCATTGCCACTCCCGGGGTGGGGGGTGGGGTGGCGGGGTCATCAGCTTCTAGGGCCTGGAGGATTTGGTCCCTGTTTTTAATTTCTTCTCCTCTCCTGGGGCGGGGGCAAGCAGTTTCCTGTCTCCATATATTGCAGCTTTGAGTCTGTTGATGAGAGAGCTGTCCCTCTGTTGTAGGCTTTGGCTCCCATTAGTAAAAGATCCTATATCTGATTTGGGGGTGGCTCATCCTTTAAGTGCAGCTGTGAGGAGAAAATCTCTTTCAAAATTCCTTCACGATCAACGGAAGGACACTTCTCTTCAGGCAAATATGTGGCCGGATGACATAGCTGCCACATTCTTAGATGGTGCCAGGCTCACAAAAGGAGTCTGGCAGTTCCCTCAGTGGTGGGGCAGATGTCTCTGGAGGGTCAGGGTCAGGTGGTCTTGTGACTGCTTTGGCATCAGGTGTCACTTGTAGTTGGAACCGGTTGGGAGGTGGTGTCGTGGGCAAGATTCCACCCTTTGGGTGAAGTTAATGTGGGTGTTTCCTTGGTGTCTTCAAAGCTTAACAGACTTTACAGGACTGAACAGGTCTCACAGCAGCGCTGTGCAGACCCTATAAACAAAGGGGTTTCCTAAACAGGAGTTTCTATGTGCCTAACCCGTGGGGTGCATAGGATGGATTTTTGGAGACCAGCTTCACCACCTGCCTTGACCCCCCTCCTTGCAGCGACTCAAGAGGTGTTATCGCAGGACCACACATGTGACCCCATGCTGGTTACCTCCTATTGGCTGTCCATTCAGATACAGTGACCACAGGTTGAAGCCCACTCAGATCCTGCAGCTACAGGGCTGTGGGCCCATTCATTCTACACATTCATTTACCATCCATTAACAAGTTACACATTCCAACTTTGAACTCCTAGTCTGGGAGGTAGAGAGATGGTTCAGCAGTTGGGAGTGCTGGCTGCTCTTCCAGAAGACCCAGGTTCAGTTCCCAGCACCCACGTGGCAGCTCATAGCTGTCTGTGGCTTCAGTTCCAGGGGATCCAACACCCTCACACAGACATATATGTAGGCCAACACCAATGCACATAAAATAAAAATAAACTTCTAAGCCGGATGTTGGTGGCACACGCCTTTAATCCCAGAACTGGGTAGGCAGGCGAATCTCTGTGAGTTTGAGGCCAGCCTGGTCTACAGAGCGAGTTCCAGGACAGCCTCCAAAACAATACAGAGAAACCCTGTCTCGAAAAAGCCAAAAAAATAATAAAAATAAATTTCTAGTTTGTTTATTTCTCTGGAGGCCAATGGGAGTGCCTTAATATCCTTTGAGACTTTTATTTGGGGACCAGTGCCACCACAGTATCCCACTGAGGCAGTGGATGCAATCTCCTGCTGGAGAGCAAGTCCCCACTGGAGCTTTTGCCTATCTCCAAGGTCTCCACCTGGTCTGGATGCCCAGCTTAGTCTCATCTTCTTCCATAGACTCTGGTCCTGGTTTTCACAATCCTCTTGGACACTGAGAGGGGACCCAGGAACCCCACACAGACTGTGTGCTTCCAGTTCTGTGTGTGTGTGTGCGTGTGTATGTGTGTGTATTGGTGTTTTGCCTGTGTGTATGTCTGTGTGAGAGTGTTGGATTCCCTGTAACTGGGGGTACAGACAGATGTGAGCTGTCATGTAGGTGCTAGGAATTGAACCCAGGTCCTCTGGAAGAGCAGCCAGTGCTTTTAACCACCGAGTCATCTCTCTGGCTGTGCTTCCAGTTCTTGAGAGCTTTGGTGGGCTGAGAGGTTCAGAAACAGCAGCTTCTCTGAACCAACTGGGGTTGTGGTGAGATCCTCACTGGGGCCTCCAGAAATGCTGCAGGAATCTTTCTGGGATAAGTACTTCACCACCAATGAGAATGCAAGGTGTCACCAGTGGACTGAAACTAGGATAGCTTCTGATTCTAAAAAGCTTCAATTCCAGGTCCAGTTTGTATTCTCAGTTTATAGTCTAAAAACCACAAGGTGAGGCAGGCATGCAAGTGAGATTTTACAGAAGCTTATGTGGCAGTCAGCAGGTTGCTAAGGGCAACGACCCACTGTTTCAGCTATTTCTCCAGATTTTTTTATGTTTCAGGTAGCAAGTGAAGTCATTGGCAAATAGGCAGTATGAGCAGTGCTTTGAGTAAATCACTAAGCCAATAAATCAATATCTAGTAATTGGTCTTTTCTGTCTTATTTCAATATAATTATGACATTGAATTCAGTTTACTGTAAGTTCATGAAATACGAATACAAAAATAGTTGTTTCTATGAAAACTGAGCAAATGTAGCAGATGTAGCACAGTTAGCAGAGTACTTGCCCAGCTTGTATGAAGCCCTCAGTTTCAGCCTCAGAACTTTATAAACCTGCACCTTAGCCAGGCGTGGTGGCGCATGCCTTTAATCCCAGCACTCGGGAGACAGAAGCAGGCGGATCTCTGTGAGCTGGAGGTCAGCCAGGTCTCCAGAACTAGTTCCAGGACAGCCAGGGCTACACAAAGAAACCCTGGCTCAAAAAAACCAAACCAAACCAAATCAAATCAAACACCAGCATTGGGAAGGTGGATACAGGAGAATCAGAAATTTAAGGTCATTCTTAGCTACAATTGAGGCCAGGCATTCCTACATAACATTAAACCTCAAAAAAGAAGAATAGCAAAAGAAAGAAGTTAAAAACAAAAATGATCAAGACAATACAGAGAAACCCTGTCTCCAAAAGCCAAAAAAAAAACAAAAAACAAAAAACAAAAAAAAAAAGACAACCTGACCCTATTGCTGAGGACACCACACACTCCAGACCCAGAGTCCCCTGAGCTGTCCCCCTCCCTGTGGACTAGTTTTCATGGTACCAGAAGGCACTGTGCAAATTCCCAAAGGAGAGAAGCAATCAACAGTTCTACCTAGCTAGGATGCCTGCTTATGTATGAACTGTAACAACGACAAGCAATAATCCTACAGGGTACCGTGATGGCATGCATACCTTGGCATAGTCTTCCCTAGGCAAGAGCACACCGATTGTTTATCAAATGCCAACTTGTGTATCCAAAGTCCTGAAAATGTAATACGGCTAACATACAGACTGAGCAGGTTATATTTAGGAATATATATATATATATATATGTATATATATTTCAACAACTAATGAAATAAGAGGCTATTAATTTGAAAGAGAGCAAAAAAAGCAGTCCATGGAAGGGTTTGCAGGGAGAAATGATGCAATTTTATCATAACCTCAAAAATAAAACAAAACCCCACAACTTGATCTCCAGGACCCACAAGCTGACCATCGTCCTTGACCTCCACCTGCATGGTGCGCACATACTTTTGTGTGCATATGTACACACACACACACAAATAAACGTTATAAAAACTGAGCAGAGTATCTACAATGTGACTACAAGTTACAAGCAGTATTTAACTCCATCTTGAGTACAAGCGCAGAGGCAGGATGACACTGACCTTGTCGTATCCAGTACCTGATACCTACCTTATTCCTAAAAGTAAAATGTCAGCACTCTTTAGGCTTCTCAAAGTAGACTGAACAATTGAGCATACGGGCAGATTAAAAACATCAGAAGCAGCCGGGCGTTGGTGGCGCACGCCTTTAATCCCAGCACTTGGGAGGCAGAGGCAGGCGGATCTCTGTGAGTTCGAGGCCAGCCTGGTCTACATGAGCTAGTTCCAGGACAGCCTCCAAAGCCACAGAGAAACCCTGTCTCGAAAAACCAAAAAAAAACCAAAAAAAACAAAAAAACAAAAAAAACATCAGAAGCTAGGGCGGTGGTGGTGCATGTCTTTAATCCCAGCACTCGGGAGGCAGAGTCAGGCCGATCTCTGTGAGTTTGAGGCCAGCCTGCTCTATCAAGCAGGTTCCAGGATAGGCTCCAAAGCTACACAGAGAAACCCTGCCTTGAAAAACCAAACCATGGGGGAGGGATAAGGGGAGGGAGAAAGGGATGGAGAGAGACAAGAAAAAAACAGCAGAAAAACCAGGTTTCAAAACTTCCAAATGCACCAGACCAATGAAGCGTGCAACTCCCTTACCTGAACTCATTAGTGAGGGTCTTGCCCCTATGATGACAAGAGCACTCACTGTCCTCTAAGTTGACCACCCAGTGAAGCAGAAACCTCTAAAGTCTACTTAGGGCTTCAGTTCAGCCCACGGCCACCTACGATGTGGTTTGGCTCAATTGCCATCCATCCCCCATCCATGTGAACCAGTCCTACACCCGGACACCTATACCCGAGGCCTGGATCCCAGAGCTCCGTTTCCTCAACAGCTAGCTCTCCTTGGGTTCCTTGATTTCTTATACTTTTGGTTGTGAGCCTAGCCTTTAAGGGCCGAGCGGTCTCTCCAGGCCAGGTTCCTTGATTTCTAAACTCTGCATTTGTAGTAGTTAGCTGCCTCAACCTCTGCCAGGAACGGCTCTGTGAATCCCAGTCTATAACATATGTAACACAGTGTGAGGTGTAAGGAGCGAGCTGAGGTTTATTAGTGAGAGTGAAATCAGGGCTACTCAAGAGACCACAGTCAACAAGAGGGATGGAAACTGCTGGTTTATTATTCAAGAGATTCTAACACCCTGTAAAGAGAAATGTGTCTAAGTTTCGACAATGCATAACTAATACCAGGTCTACCTTCTTTTTTTTATTTTTGAGGCAGGGTTTTTCCGAGGCTTTTGGAGGCTGTCCTGGAAC